ATAGAATTGAAAAGTGTTCCATAATGCCTTCAAAAGTGCTAGAAAAGAAGGATAGAGGTGTCTATGACTATTGTATAGATGTTGCCAATAAACTAACTGTTATAAGTTGGCATGATAATAGAATAGTTTTGATGGTCAGTACTTATGATTCTACGCTTCCAGAATGTAGAGTGGAAAGGTGGATATCAAAACAGAAAAAAAGATTGCCAGTTACGTAACATCATGTAGTAGCTCAATACAATAAATTTATGGACGGTGTAAACGGGATGGATGAGAACATAGACAACTACAGGATTTCCATTAGATCGAAGAAGTGGTGGCTGGCAATTTTTGCGTTATGTGTCGATATATCAGTGCACAACAGCAACTATATAAAAAGGACTTGGGTAAAAAATGGATTATTTGCATTTTCGAAGAATAGTTGTGCAAACGTATTTACAAAAATATGGTATTCCCCCGGCAGGAGGAGGACGTTTATCTTCTTCACGAGATAGTCTTGTCAAAAATGTAAAGTCAATCTGCATGACTCCTGTTTTGTTCACTTCCACACAAGATAATGGATAATAAATAATTCCAATACATTTATTGTTATAGTTTGTATTTGATTGATTTTATTGAGAAAATATATGATCCTGCTCATGCCCATTGTGTCATTAATGGAACATTCAATAAAACTACGAAGAAATAGTATTTTCTTAAAAAATAATGCTTGAAATAAGTTACAAAGGATAAAAACTGCACAAAAAAAAAACACTGGAAACACAAAAATCTAAAAAAAATAATTCGGGCATAAACGGGTTAATGATTAAAAACAAAATGTTTAAAAAATCGTTGAAATTTTATTTATTGGAGATGAGAAATAAATATATTTCAAATTAAAGCTAAAAATACCTATTTATAGATAACATGATCTGTAGATGACAAAATTTATCGCAGGAATTTCTCCAACGATTCATCAATTAGACAAAAAATAAGTTCCAAACATAATTAACAAAGAATCTTCTCGTTTATTAACATGCTGGTGATATCCTTGATATCACTAAACATTTCTCAAGATATCTCTCAATATCCCCATATATATCTCAACGTAATTCCTAACTTATCTCAGCAATGTGGTAGTTTCCCTCAACATCTTTCCCACTATCTGCCAACAGCAAATGTCTTGGGTTTAGTTCCACTACCAGCGACTAGGTGACGCTATAAAAAATCACCGGATCTAGTAACTTTTCCAATATCAATCTAAATCTAGTTACTTTCTTCACTCCCAGATTTAGGTTGGCCACCAAAAGTCACCAAATCTAGTAACTTTTCCAATACCAACTTAAATCTAGTTACTTTTTTGCCCCCCAGATTTAAGTTGGCCACTTTCCCTATCATATAACATTGGAGCGTGACGTCACATAATCCATAATCCTGGTCGAGAACTCTCATTACTACACTACTTCTTTGAAGTATCGTTAGCCATTACTCCATGTTTCTCAATAGTAATCTGATATCACTCAACATCAATCTGGTCAACATCGCCCTTGATACCCTCAAATTTCGTTTACGTCAACAATTCCAGTTCTTCCCTCGATATCTTTCCCATTATCTATCGACATAGCCATTGACATAATTTCCGATATCTTTTCTGGCTTCAGTCAACATCGTCTATAACATCAAAATCTTTACTGGTAAATCTCAACATAATCAGTAGTATTTCTCAACACAGTCCGCTTTTTTCTCTATCATCTAACAAATTGTCTAATATAGAATAACCTGAAATATTGTCACTGGTCTTCTTTAATATCGACTATGAAATCTAAATCTTTCCTGGTATCATCTTTGATGTATCTAAACATCGTCTGTGATATTTTATCTTTGGCATTCTTCTACACAGCCACAGAAAAAGCAACACATTCTGGTATATTTCAATACTATTGTAGCCCCCCTCAATATCTTCCCCATAATCTACCTCCTTATATCTTTCGATCTCATTTTTGATACCATTGTTTCTAACATCTACATAACTGTGTCTGATATCTTGCAACATAATTCCTGATATATCTTAATACTATCTTGCCCTTCGTCATCATCCTTCCCATCATTACGTCATCAACAACGTGTGCTTGATATCGCTAAATATCGTTGTTGAAAATTCTCAGCATCAATTTAACTTAATTTTTAATTTAATTTAATCCTTTAACATGTTCCTTAACATACTCAATCGGTTACCGCAATAATGTCTTTGACATTACCAACATAATGCTTGATATATTTCATTACTATCCCAACATCTGTCGACGTGATTTCCTAATATCTTTCCTTCCTCAACATTGCCTATGGTATCAAAATCAAATAGCCTAAAATATTGTCACTGGTCTTCTTTAATATTGACTGTGAAATCCAAATCTTTCAAAAATACCAATCTTTGATGTATCTAAACATCGTCTGTGATATTTTCCAACATCTTCGCTCATCTTCTGTGATAGAATCTTTGGCATCCTTCTATACAGCCACAGAGAAAGCAACACATTCAGATATATTTCAATACTATTCTAGTCCATCGCAACATCTTCCTAATAATGTACCAATATCTTCTTTGATATCTCTAAATATCATCCCTTATATCTTTCGATCTCATTTTTGATACTGTAACTGATACTTTTGTAACTATGTCTGAATCTTTCAATATAATCCCTGATATATCTCAATACTATCTTGCCCTTCGTCATCATCTTTCCCATCATCAAGTTATCAACAACATTGTCCTTGATATCGCTAAATATCTTTGCTGAAAATTCTCAGCATCACCTTATGATAACTCTTAACATCACTTCATCTCACCAGATGTCATCATCGTTTATAATATATTGTAACATCAAAATTGTCACTATCCTTGCCTCACTCAACATCTTTCACATTATCAATCAACATCAGTCATGACATCGCTAACCATTGGCCCTGAAATATCTCAACATCATCGTTGGTACCTCTCAATATCGTTCATAATATCCTTTAACTTGTTCTTTAACATAATCAATCGGTTACCACAATAGTGTCTTTGATATCACCAACATAATGCTTGATATATTTCATTACTATCCCAGCATCTCTCGACGTCATTTATAATATTTTTCCGTTATCCTTAATATCTCTTAATTGGGCATATCTCAACATAATTTCTAACATTTTTCAGAACTGTCAATGGCTTTCCTCAACATTTCCACACAATCCCTAACATCTCTCAATACTGTCCTGCTCATATCCAACATCCCATCATCTGTTAACATCCTTTTTGATATCTTCAAACATCGTTCATAATATTCTCCATCAGTGTCGATGGGAATCAAGGTAAACTTTGGCAACCTGTGACAACTCATCATATCTGAAGAATATGTCAATACCATCCTGGTCTCTTTCACTATCTTCTTCATAATCTATTAATACCTTCTTTGATATTACTCAAAATCATTCCTGATATCTGATATTTGCTAAACTTCCACAACATATTTAGTAGCATTTCTATGCGCTGACTGTGATATATACCAACATATTCCCTTGTATATCTTAACACTATCTTGATCTTCTTCAATATCTTCTCCATCATCTAATAACATCGCTAAACTTCGTTATATAGTTTATCGCATCCTGTTAAATTTCTGACATTTTCCAACGTGATTTCTGAAACATTCCAATATTATTTTGACCTTCCATCATGAATCAACACCTGTATTGCCATTGCAGATCTGATTGATATCGCTAATGATATCGATTGAAATCTCCAAGCATCAATCTTGATATCTTGAAATATTGTACATCTTCGCAATTTATAACGTTTATATTATTATAAGTTATGAGTAATATAATGTCTACTAAGACCCAACAACATCTCTGGTATTCCTGGCTTTCCATAACATTGTCTATAACATCAAAATCGTTCTTGACATGCCTTAATATAGTCGTTAACATCTCTGAATGTTCTCCTAGTTGCTTTTAACACTTTCTCCATCATTTGTTAACATCGTCTCTAACATCCCTTCCAGCCTTCCTCAACATAGTCAATACAAAAGGAATGCTGTTTCATGTTATATTTTATCTAATCTAAGTTATTAATGTCAATTAATAACTTCCAACATTATCGCAAACTTTCTTCAACATAACTTGTCGTATCCTCAGTATCGTTTTATTGATATTTCCTCAATATTTCTCAACATATCTCCAAATAATCCATCAACATTGTTCTTGATATTTCTCAACATAATTCCTCACATCACGCAACATCGTCCTAGAAATCGTCCTAAATATCGTTCTTGGCATATATCAATGTATTTTTTTGCAAAATCCCGCTGGGAATTGATATTGATTTAGGATTGTCACGAATACGCAATCAGTTTTTTTGAGTTAGGTCAAGTTCCTGGTGACGCTTGAATAGCGTGACGAAACAAATTTATTCTTAGGTTTAGAGTACTTATGAAATTTAAAAAAATTTATTAATTGTTATTTTAATAAATAAATAGGAGTTTGTTTTAAAAATATGGTTACAAAAACCAGTAGATATACATTAACGTTTACTCGATAAATCTTGCCACGATTTAACCTTTAGTAGCTGTAAACTTAACCAAAATTTAAATATTCTTATCTAAGTTGGTTTTCAAAGTAACCTTTCGTGCTTGAGCTCATTTAAAAAAAATTAATCTACATCATTTTTTTTTAACTTTAATCACTTCAACCTACACTTTAAAATTTTTTTTAAATCTTTAACCTTTCAGATGTACTTAGTTAACTGAAACATTAATAAGAAACTAACACAATCAACGTAAACAGAAAATAAACCATGACAAAATCTTTCTGTTACCGCCTGGTACCACCATCGATTTTAAAATTAAACCATTAACCGATCTAAAAAGACACCTAACATGAGATGGAAAACAGCAAAAAGTCCGAAAAAATCAAAAACTCGCCCGTTTTTAGTGTTACCGCTAATAGAAGTGGACAACTCGTCAACACAAGATCAAACAATGAGGAAAAAACCCGACCATCTCCGCCTTTTTACTAGAACATTCACGCCAAAAGAAAAAACGATTAACGATGAAAACGCACGACCTTTAACGGCTACGTTAGAAAAACCCCAAGTACTCGATATTCGATATATCGACAAAATCGACATGTCCTTGGTTAGAAAAGAGTTCCTGTGTATTACCAATTTGTGTCGAGCGTTGCCGGTGGCGGTATCGAAGGCGCGGAGGAAGCCACCTCCAAACAGCCAGAGACGTCACGGAATCACCAGACCATTGATTTTACCAAGCAAAGGTATTCAAAAAATTAGTAGACCCGGTACTAGTGATGATAGTTGGGAAGACGAGAGTAGTTGCTCACAAACACCGACAGCAAGAGCTAAAAAATACGGTAAAAAATTAAATGCTTCTATAAAATTTTAATTAATAATTGTAATTTCTTTATTTAGACCTTAATAGAAGACACAAAATGATCAAGCAACCAGCACCCGTTACATCATCAGCACCAGTAAGAAAACCGTCAAAAAAGATCAGTCATAATGACACTAATAATAATTTTAACACGTATCGTGTGACGAAGAAGCGAATGGTTGTTCCTTTACCTTGTAACACCTGCGGACGCCCCGATCAACCCGAACGCTTCCACAGTCACCCAGAAACTCCCGGAAACCATTCGCCGAAGAAGAAAATGGATGTAAAAGCACCGATTAAAAACGTCGTTCAAAAACCGGTCGCGATTAAATATAAATCAAAATTAATTGAAAAGAATAATAAGAATAAAGTATTGGTTACACCCGGGAAAACGAATTCGGGAAATGTACGTTTGGGAAAAATAAATTCGGCAAATATACATTTGGGAAAAGTAAATTCGGGAAATGTAAATTCGGGAAATGTAAATTTGAGAAATATAAATTCGGGAAATGTAAATTTGAGAAATATAAATTCGGGAAAAATAATTTCGGGAAAGCCAACTTCTGCAACAACGCCTATAATTGCTGAAAATAAAGATAAAAAGGAAACTGGAAAAGGCCCTAAAACGCTTATGTGTTACATTTGTGGAAGAGAATTTGGAACGATGTCCTTGCCGATACACGAACCGAAGTGTTTAGAGGTGAGATCAGCGAAATTGTCAAGTTTATTTTTGTAGTATTATTGGTGATGATGTAAAATGTGATGATGTGTGTTTGTGAATTGGTTGGATGGTTAATATGATTTAATGATGATTGGTTTGTTTAAAGATAAAGTGATTAGAAGTAATTTAGTTTTGTAGCTCAATAGAATTATTGCGTGTTGAAATTACACCAAAGCTAATTATTATTAATAATTTATAGCTAATTGGAAATGGAATTGATTGCAAATTAAATGTAATTAAATTTCTTGTGAAACTTTCTTCACAATCAAAATTTTAAACTTTTAACTTTTAAAACAGTATTTGAGACATTTATTAAAATTTCAATTTAAATAACAAAGAAAATTGTTGAGAAGAAAAAAAAATGTTAACCGATTTTATTCTTTTGGTTGCAACATAATTAAAAATCTTAAAGCTAACCAATTTAAGTCTTCAACATTTCCCCTTAATAGCCGCCTCAGTGTGCAGACGTTTGTTTTGTTCAGGTTTATTAGTGGACGTCGTGTAACCACTTCCAATTGTATCATTAACTAATACTCCCTCTGTCCCAAATTATGGTATACAAAACTTTGGAAAGTGCTTTATTGTATTAATTCATCCATACTATTTGGCGATGTAAATACTGAATAGCATTGAAGAAGCTAAGGTCTAAAACATTCAAATCAGGACTATTCGGTGGCTATGATTTGAATTTAACCTTTAAATGCATGATATTTTTTTTTCAACTCAACCATAGAAAAACGAGTTTAGTGGATGATAAAAAGTCAAGGAAAAATATGGAAAAAAATAAAATTTTATTTTTTTAAATATTTATTTAACAAAAAACGTATGTTGCCGTACATTGCGCATACAGTAAACTTATCATTTATCTAATTAATGTGGAAGTTATAAAAACAGTTATTGTTTTTGTTCAGGCAAAGTGCTACTCCGCATTTTTGGCATTTCGTGTGTGTGAACCCTTTACAATTTGGATATTTGCATCGCATTTTACCATCTTCTAAAATAGGCCAATGTCCACACTGATCTCTTCTGACGTCCTTGGGGGGAATGTACTAGCAAGGACCTTTTTTCTTCTTATTCTGTATTTCATTTTCTAGTGTACTGGGTCTGCCTCGTTTTGAGACTGATGTTTCTATTTTGCACAAAGTTTCAGCAAGCTCAGTGCGAAATTCGGCTTGTGAAAGAATTTTAGTGGAGGTACCTTTGGCGAGTAATACTTTTTTGTATAGAATCCAAGAATTTGCAGCTATCAAGTCAAGTAGGTGGTAAAAAATCCTTAAATACCATTTTCTACTCTTGATACGTATTTTGTATCTTCCAATATTACTGTCCATTAGGTCCACACCTCCCATATGGCGGTTGTATTCCCGAATGACGAATGGACAATCTACTTCCACAACCATTTTTAATTTTCGGTCAAAACGTTTCACTTTTCGTATCGGAGCAGTACCAGCAAAACTTGACAACATAGTGACGTATTTGTTGTCTTTCCATACTGTTGATGAAATGTCAACTCCATCGACTGTTGCTACATATTCACAGCTTTCACCACGACGCCATTTTTTCATACATTTTTCAGTGGGTAGCTTACAATCTGGTATTCTTTTCCTCTGAACCGTGCCCAAAGAAAATACTCCTTTTTTTGCTAGATATATCATAAGCGGTACGCTTGTGTAATAGTTATCATGATACAACCGAAAATTTTGATGTTCTGGTATAATTCTAGAGAGGCGAACAACTGTATTAGATGATGGTCCTAGATCAGGTTCTCCTTCTGGACGATTCGCAGAATTTTCTTGGCCACTATAAATTTCAAATGCATAAGAAAAGCCTGAAACTCCAGCTATTATGTATAATTTGAATCCCCATTTGTGAGGCTTCTTGGGCAAATATTGTTTCATGTAGTGTCCTATTTTAGTGGAACACATTTGCTCATCCACACTGAGGTGCTGCTCAAGGGGTACGCTGGAAAATCTATTGTTCAATATATCAATTGTGGTCTTATTTTGTAGAGTCTATCATGGCCCGGTTGAGAGAATGGAATTAGATTACTGTTGTCATTAAAATGAACATATTGACGAACTTTTTCTTATTTATTTAGGGACATTACCGTTCTTATTGGCGCAAATGGGAGCTTTTCACTCCAATAGCTTCTTATGTTAGGCATTCGAACCAGTGATGTATAGAAAATTATACCCACAAACTGTCTAATGTCAGTAGAACTAAAAACGTTGTATCTCTCTGGTTTGCTTTGTACGGCATAAAGGTTCGTTTCATCAGTTATTTTCTGAAGTAATTCATACGTGAAAAAATAAGTAAAAAACTAATACAGTGTTTCTAATGCCATTATGGTATCACTTAGTTGCACATCTCCATGAAAGTGTAATTGTTCATCATTTAGAGTAAGGGTTTTCTTTTTCCAAATAATCTTTGTTCTTTTTTTTGTACTCTTTGCCCGTTGTTTGGAAGTTGATGCGACATTTTCACCTGTTTGGTCTACATGTTTGTTTTCTTGGTCTACCTGTTCAGGTTCTGTATCCGTATCATCATCTGTTGACTCGGGTACAAATGGGGGGTCTACAAGGCTATCTGTATCTGAAAAATCACCCTCATCTTCACTTTCTAAGCCAGTAAAGTTTTTCCAATATTCTTCTAGGTCTTTTTCGGATAAAAAATTTCGACGATCCATTCTAAAGTAACATAACAATATGCCAGCAAAACCTATCGAAAACGTGCCTGAATGCATATTGTTACCGAACGGCAACACAACACTATTTTGGCATTTTTAGTTACTGTTGTAATTATATGACTAAAGCACAATAATATTATGAACTACACATCTTACCCGATATAAAAATATTTTTCTTCTCAAAAAAATCACTCAATTTCTAACTCAATTGGTTTTATAAACTTTTGTTAACAAAAACGCATCTGTTAGGTTAGGTATTGGGCAACAAAATCGTCTGAAACGCACCCCTTACGCCATCTATCAAAATACCGTTACATTATATAAGTTTACACAATGTGACTAATGGGCTACGGTATACAGTTACTTGAGATTCATGTTATTATGGGCTTTTACATGCTTGATTTAGCTATGTTGCTAATCGGTAACATGATGCATTTAAGGGTTAATATACCCTCTCGATCCTTCGGCCAGCAATTCTGCATCGTTTTAATAAGAATTCGGTTTTGTATTATCTTGTTGAATATAAATTGTCTTGGCTTTATGTGCTTTTGGGAATTTGGATCTAATGGCTGGTAAAACGCTATTGAAAATCATCTTCTTGCATTATGCTGCGTTAATAGACTCGATGTTTTGCCGTTGAAGTACTATTTTCTGGCACTGACATAGCGTGGTCTGGTCACTGCAGCCATAAACATAAGATTAGTTATGAACTGTTTGCTGTTACAGTGTCTTTCTGGTTCTACTTTGTCCAGCGTGATGTAGTATGAGTTTTTAACTTGTGATAACTAAAACCACTTTTCGTCTATATGTAGGTAGTCGTACATTTCCTCAAAACATCGATTTGATTTAACCTTCGACAAACAGAACTCTAGTAGTGGCTTCGTTGTTGAGGATATTCTACACAAACCTGGTACTTTCTAGTTCTAGGTCTAGTGTTGGTTCTAGTTTTACACTAACACTATTACTAAAACTAACACAAGACCACAGCTCTGCAGATGCACGGCTAAACCCGAATATTTCTAGTTCTACGTATAGTGTTAGTTCTACATAGTAACAGTGCTGGTGTAAAACTAGAACTAACACTATACATAGTTCTAGAACTAGAATCATTTGAGTTTAGCCGCACGTTCTAAAGACGGCTAAACCCGATTGATTCTAGTTCTTGGTTTAGCGCTGCATAACAATTAAAACTAGAACTAACACTAGACCTAGAACTAGAAAGTTTCGGGTTTAGCCGTGCGTCTTCAGACGCACGGCTAAACCCGAACGTTTCTAGTTCTAGGTCTAGTGTTGGTTCTAGTTTTACACTAGCACTATCACTAGAACTAACACAAGACCTAGAACTAGAATCATTCGGGTGTAGCTGTCATTAGAGACGTAAGGCTACACCCAAATGTTTCTAGTTCTAGTACTACGTATAGTGTTAGTTCTACATAGTAACAGTGCTGGTGTAAAACTAGAACTAACACTAGACCTAGAACTAGAAAATTTCGGATTTAGCCGCACGTCTCTGTGTGCTCTAGTTCTAGTTTTACACTAACACTATTACTAGAAGTAACGCAATACCTAGAACTACAATTATTTGGGTTTAGCCGTCTTGTGAGACGTGAGGCTAAACCCGAATGTTTCTTGTAGTTTTGTACTAGAACTAAAAAAATTGACATTTTTCAACTGACGCATGCATACCAACTGAACTGTTTTTAAACCTAATTCTTTATTAGAAACACCGCATTGAATTATATTTACGCATTAATTCTCCAAACTTTCCTTAATGCATAAATTTTAGAGAAATGTATACCATGTACTACTAGGGAGTAGTACATTTGAAAAAATCAGAAAAAACGATAAAGTTATTGATTTTTTATCAAAATCAATGCTAAAGGGGAGCATGGTTTACAGTGGGACGTTTTTTTTTCTTTGTCCGATAATTTACTGAAACTTAATATTTCAAGGGTGCAATTGAAATATGCTATTGTTTATGATAGATACTAACTATTATCTTAGGTTTTTAAGTATAAAAATGATAAGAGGCAAAAATAAGGCAAGTGTCCCAGAATATACCATTTGTCCCAATGATGGGATGAATGACCACCCTAGGTACACAATGGGACAAGGCATTGTACACTATGGGACATTAATTATTTCAAGAGAAAAGTATATTTTTTATAAAAGTAAAATCACATTTCTTTTAACAAAACTGAACACTAATTAACAAAACATAAATGTTTCCTTTTATGTAATCAGGGGCTTTAAAACATCCTAAATATTATATTTGGTGAAATCAAAATCAAAG